CAGCTGGTCTTCATGAACCTGTCCTGCTGTCACCTGGGAGCCCATCCTCGCGGGACTGAGGCTGGTTGCAGAAGCAGGCATTCCACATCCCCTTCCTCCATGAATCACCCAAGGCTCCATGGTGCCTAGGCTTTCTTTATTGTTTAAAAGTGTAGGTCAGGTAACTGCAGGTGAAGTTTTCTTAAACGTTTTTGTTTATACATTCAAAGTGGATAAGTGGGTGAACTTTCACAAAGTAAGGCACACACCCGCCATGCAGATCAAGGAACAGGGCATGGCCAGCTCACCTGAGCTCCCCCCTCTCCCCTCCCTATCACTAGTCCCTCTCCTCCTAAAGGTAATGCTGTCCTGGGGGAGGGAGTTTTTTCCTTTTAAATAGACTTAATTTTTTAGAGAAGTTCTAGATTCATAGAAAAATGGAACAGAGGTCAGGCACGATGGCTCAAATTTGTAATCCCAGCACTTTGAGAGGCTGAGGCAGTCAGATCACGAGGTCAGGAGTTTTGAGTGCAGTGGGCCAAGATATCACCACTGCCTGCGTGACAGAGCAAGACTCCATCAAGAAAAGAGAGAGAGAAGAAGAAAGAAAAAGAAATGAGAGAAAGAAAGAAAGAGAGAGAGAAAGAAAAAGGAAGGAAGGGAGGGAGGGAGGGAGGAAGGAAGGAGGAAGGGAGGGAAGGAAGGAAGGAAGGAAAGAAGGAAGGAAGGAAGGAAGGAAGGAAGGAAGGAAGGAAGGAAGGAAGGAAGGAAAGAAGGACAGACAGAAGGAAGAAAGGAAGGAAGGAAGGAAGGAAAGGGGGGGGAAATGGAGCAGAAAACGCAGTTTTCATCAACCTCTACTCCCTGCTGCCACACACACACATGCACAGCTTCCCCCACTAGGAATATCAAACCTGGGTGGGATATTTGTCATAATCAATAAACCTACATTGGCATATCACTCTCACCCGGAGTCCATAGTTTACATTAGGGCTCACTCTTGGTGTCGTACATTGCATGGGTTTGGACATGTGGACAATGACATGAATTCACCATTGTAGTATCACACGGAGTAATTTCACTGCCCTACAAGTACTCTGTGCTCCACCAATTCATTCCTCCTTTCTCCTGACCTCTGGCAACCATGGATATTTTCGTTGTCTCCATAGTTTTGCTTTTTCTAGAATGTCATATATTTGGAATCATGCAGTGCACAGCCTTTTCATATTGGCTTCTTTCACTTGGGAATACACATTTAAGGTCTCTTCATGTCTTTTTGTGGTGTGATAACTGATTTCATTTTAGTGCTGAGTAACATTCTATTGTCTGGATGCGGGCCTAAGGTTTGTTTTTGTTTTGTTTTTGTTTTGTTTTGTTTTGTTTTGTTTTGTTTTGTTTTGTTTTTGAGATGGGGTCTCACTCTCCCAGGCTGGAGTGCTGTGGCGCAGTCTCAGCTCACTGCAATCTCCGCCCCCTGGGTTCAAGTGATTCTTGTGCCTCAGCCTCCAGAGTAACGGGGATTACAGGGCGTGCCACCATGCCCGGCTTTTTGCATTTTTAGTAGAGACAGAATTTCACCATGTTGGCCAGGCTGGTCTCGAACTCCTGACCTCAGAGGATCTGCCCGCCTTGGCCTCCCAAAGTCTTGGGATTACAGGCATGAGCCACCATGGCCAGCTGGGCCTAGGTTTTGAAGAAGGAATTGGACTGAGTGTAGGGGAGGTCATACTGCTGCAGTGTCTTCTTTGTACCTGTGCCATGCTAGGACTGACATGTGTGGAAGTGCAAAGCCCCTGAAGGACCTTGCATTAGTCACTTCTATGCACTGAGCTTCTGGCCCCAGAATACCATCCTCAGAATAAGAATATGATAGGGCCGGGTGGATAGGTGGGCAGGGGGGCCTGGGTTGGAGGCTCAGGCACTGCACTGCACATATATGTCTTGATGTGAATGGTCTGGTGGAGGTCAAGTTCTGTTTAGCAGGGATAGACTATGTGATGAATAGCATGAAGAAAGGTAATGGTCTAAACACAGCAGAAGTTTCATTCCCACTCATGTGACAGTCTGTGGAGCAGGCAGCTCCTCTCTTCAAGAATCTGGGACCCAGGTACCTTCCATCTTGTGGCTCTGCTTCCCCCAAGCCTTGTCATTTTTTTCATCTAACTATAGTGACCTGGTCTTTTGGATGAGCCCTGAACATTGAACCAAAGACACATTCTGAAAATTCATTTGATGTGTGGTCAGCTCCTGATTTAGCACAGTCCAGGGAATGATGGAGTGATGGACAAGAAGGTTCTCATGAGGAGGCTGAAGAGATCCAAGTGTGGGGGTGCCAGCCTGGGGTACTTCAGAAGGGGCACTGGCCTAGGGGTCACATCAGGGTGACCCTGAGTTCCCTGGGGCAGAGTGTGGCTCACAATGGGGTGCTGAGAACGCAGCAGGAAGGCTGGAACTTTCTGTACGAATTGTATTATGAGGGCCTGCCTATGTACCAGGGGGGGAGACACTGACCAGAGTCCCAGGGCCACTGAGGGGTCTCAGTGCCTGGCGGGTGCACTGTGCCCGCAATGATGTGGCAGTCCTAACAGGCAGGACTCTGACCCGCACTGCAGGTGCTGGTTTTTGCCACTCATGTTGGATTTTGCTTCTCTAAGTGAACTTACTTGGGATGGCTGAGTTCTTGGCCATTCTTCCAGTGGTTTTCAAGGGTGAAGAAAGGAGTTTCAGCAAGACAGCTAATGTCTGCATGAGTGAGCCAGGCAGTGTCTACAGCCTTCCTCTAAACAGCACTCTGGACTGGTGGGCGTGAGGACCCCAGGGCAGGCTGGCTCAGCCTCTTTGATTTCGGGTTTCAGGGAAGCCCAGGGAGCTGGATTGGGTTCCTGGATTTTCCGAGAATTATGTTTCTGAGAGGATTTTGAAACCTAAACAGGAATACTTTACACACAGTCATCGAGCAGGAACTGGGAAGTTCCGAAGCTGCCCTCCTTCACGCCACCTCCTCCCTTCAGAGGCCGAGGGCTGCCAAGCTGTCTCCCACACACCTCAGTGAAAAGTCCCTGGCTCCCCTCCCAGCCGCCTCACTGTGACCTCGCGAGGTGTGAGAAGGAGGAAGCGGATCCGCGTTCTGGATGAAACTTCCTTCCTCCTTACTGAGAAACAGTCCGGGCACCCGCGCCTGCTGCGCCTCAGAGCTTCTGGGAGCTCCAGGCCCAGCATGGCTCCTGCAAGCTGCCTGGGAATTGCCGAGGCTGGGACTGGCTACCTGTCTTATTTCCTGTATCTGCTGCAACCCATTTCCTAAACTTGGGTGGCTGAAAACAACAGAAATCAGTCCCCTCACAGTTCTGGAGGCCAGAGTCTGAATCCAGGCGTTGGCAGGGCCTTGCTGCCTTCGAAGGTTCTAGGGAAAAATCCTTCCTGGCCGTTTCCAGTTTTGGGTGGTGGCTGGCAACGCTTGGCATTCCTTGGCTTCAGATGCATCATTCCATCTGCACGTGGCTGTCTTCCCTCTGTGGCTCTTCCTTTCTTCTTATAAGGACACCAGTCCTGTGGTGTTAAGGGCCCGCCTTACTCCAGTATGATATCTTCGTAGTTCATTACATGTACAACCACCCATTCCCACATGTCACATTCTGAGGTTCTGATGAACATGAACTTGAGGGGACACTATTCAACCCACAGTAGAGCCCCACCGTCCCCTCCCCGCACCACATCCTCAGAGCAGGCCCCCTCTCCACACAGGGCACCCTGCCTGGTTTTCCTCTCCAGCACCAAGACAGAGCCAAGAGTGATTTCTTGAAATAAAACTGCGTCCTCTCATCCTGGTAAGACATGGCCTCACGAGTGGGAGATGAGCAAATGCAAGCCTCGCTCAGGACAGGCATCCACACGTCCAGGGGACACACACCCCAATTTTTTTCCTGGTTTATAAAGGTGGTTCAGGACTCCTTGGCTCCTGGTCAATATCTGAGTACTTCCTGAAGGGCAAAGACACCTCCAAACCATTCAGTGGGTCATCCCAGACCAAATTTCTTGGCCAGACATTGAAACGGGAGGCGTTCCCTTATCCCGCTCGTTTGCAGCTCACTTCTTCAGTATCCTGCCGCTCCAACCCCTAGGGGGAGCATGCAGACGGGCAGGTCGTGAAGAGCGTTTTTGGGCACTGACTCCACAGCAGCATGTAGGGTTGAGTGTTTACAGCTCCCGAAGCCCCAGTGGGCATGTGTTACAGTGGGCTATCTCTCGGTTTTGCCATCTGCAGGCGGCCTGTGTTAATCAGCTCATTTAGACCCTCTGCCTTATCACAAGGACAGAGCTCTGTCTGTATCCCCGGTTCTTGCCCTCGTGTACTGGAAAAAAAAATCAGATCATATGTGGACTTGGAGAATGAGTGCAAGGTTTTATTGAGTGGTAGAAGTAGCTCTCAGATGGATGAGAAGCTAGAAGGGGGATGGAGTGGGAAGGTGGTCTTCCCCTGGAGTTGGGCCACCCAGCAGCCAGACTGTCCTCCAGCTACCCCCACTGAATTCCACATTGTTCCGCTGTCAAAAGCCTGCTGGCGTCTGCTGGTGTCTGTCAGCATGCTCTTCTGCTCCTCTGCTCCTCTTGACATCCAACCACTTGTGTCTGTGCCCACTATGGTCTTGGGTTTTTATGGGCACAGGATGGGGGTCATGGCGGGCCAGAGTGGTCTTAGAAAATGCAACATTTGGACATGAAAACAGGAGTGCGTGGTCTCACTTAGGTCCATGGGCGCAAGCCTGAGGGTGGAGCCCTCACCAGAGACCCTGCCCTTCTCTACCCAGCACTTCCCTGTACCACTCCCATATCAACATGAAAGTTGACATTGGCTCCTGGTTTGGTGACTTCTGCACCAGAGCTGCTAGGAAGGCCCCACCGCACATGTTGTGGACTGAACAGTCACTCCTCCCCAGGGGAACCATCGTCTTCCTGTCCCCAAACCCATGGAGGAGTGGTGGGTTCCTGGGCCTCTTGTAACCCGACTGAATATTTTCCAGGTTACCTAACCAAACTCCTGCAAAACCACACCGCCTATGCCTGTGATGGGGACTATTTGAATCTACAGTGCCCTCGGCATTCTACGATAAGTGTCCAATCAGCATTTTATGGGCAAGATTACCAAATGTGTAGCTCCCAGAAGCCTGCCTCCCAGAGGGAAGACAGCTTAACCTGTGTGGCACCCACCACCTTCCAGGTATTGCCTTTGGTAGACATGTTAAGATGATAAAGTTTCAACATACGCTCTTTCTCTCTCTCTAGGTATAAATATATTTGTGATTATATAGTTCAATCAAAGCAAAACTGATCCATGAAAAATCCGAATTTATACAGGTCAGCAGTTTTGTAGGTGAGCTATAATTTGCTTCTCAAAAGGATTCGTTACCAAAGAAATCTAAATAGAATTCCTACCCATTGCAGAGCCCCCTTTGTACACTTCAATATGAATTTATTTGCAGGTTTACTCCTTACTGTAGTATAGCAACATAAGGAATCCATGATGGATTTCAACCTCCAGGCCCACATCTCCCATAAATATCCCTGTAGAAAGGGAAAGTGGATTCTGTAATGGAAGCCACAAGTATCTCTGTGAAGCAGACATCCGAAGTCATGACAGCTTCTTAGAAAATGTACTCAAGGAGTTGGGCCTGGTGGCTCACGCCTGTAATCCCAGCACTTTGGGAGGCCGAAGTGGGTGGATCACAAGGTCAAGAGATAGGGACCATCCTGGCCAATAGGGTGAAACCCTGTCTCTACTAAAATACAAAAATTAGCTGGGTGTGGTGGCACGCGCCTGTGGTCCCAGCTACTTCGGGAGGCTGAGGCAAGAGAATTGCTTGAACCCAGGAGGTGGAGGTTGCAGTACAGCACTCCAGCCTGACGCCTGGTGATGGAGAGAGACTCTGTCTCAAAAAAAAAAAAAAAAAAA